AGTGAGAGATTAATACAACCCTATCTGCCAAAAAAAGCATCACCTATACACTAAAAGCTGATGTTATTTTTAGTGTATAGCAGCCTCTCTGGAACAGTATTAGATTGTTCAGAAGTAGAACAGGTATAGAGGAAGAGGAAAATAAAATCCAGCTCTTCAAAGGACATGAAAGAGGAGACATCACCTGGCACTGAAAAAAGCAAATGTTTTTGTAGAACTGTCTACCACTGTGTGGACTACGTACCACAGTGACTGAAAAGGACTGAACCACTACACACAAATTGTCTCACTGACTTCTCTTGAAGGTGGAAACATGGTGCCCTGTATAGTCTCTTTTTCCTCAGACAACTGTATGCACACACACAAATTTGATTCCCAGAATGACTCAGACAGCAGGAAGACCTCTCTGTGCAAGGCCAGTTTCCCCAACGTTCTTGGATCTTGCAAGGGACATAACTTTAGACATCTGATCGTCGGCTCAAGTTGAGCAAGTGGGGATTAACTGACTATTTTAGATGTTTCCATTTAAGCTTAGCATTATGTTCTTCTCTTTGTCTCAGAGCACAGAGGAGGTAAGATTTGTTCACACTTTTTTGGTAAGAACAAAGGTCTTTTTAGCTTCATATCCAACAGTGGCTAGAGGCAGATGCATGAAGAACAAGAGCAGGAGACTAGAAAGGATACTTCCTACTAGTAATCTCTCAGCTACTAGACATCAGAACAAGGACTTTGAATCACATATGGTTCCTTTGTATTTACCTGTGAATCCTGAAGGTTGGACTCACCTGTAAAGACTGAGTCAAAGAAGGCACCAAGTGCTTCAGCTTTTTCAGTGTCTTTTGTCTCCAGATCCCCTACCCCAGTCAGTAGTGGGCGCACATTTTCCCTAGTCCTTCTTTGGCTGATGCTGTACCTCTAGAAATCTTTTTGTTGCCCTTCAGATCTCTCGCCAGATTCAACTCCAGATGTACTTTGGCTTTCCTAACCCAATCCCTTCATGAACGGACAGGGTCTCTATAACCCTCCCAGATCATCTTCCTCTGCTTCCACCTCTTACACATTTCCTTTTTATTTATGAGTTTATTCAGGAGCCCCTTGTTCATCATTTTGGCCTCCTGCCACCTTTGCTTGACTTACTGCTTTGTCAAGATGAACCATTCTTGAGCTTGAAGGAGCTGATCTCTGAAAATCAAGCAGCTCTCCTACACCTCTCATCTGTGCAGGATGAAAACCCATGGGATTCTTCCAAGCAGATCCCTGAAGAGCCCAAATTCTGCTCTCCTGAAGTCCAAGGCTGCGGTCCTGCTTTTTGCCTTGCTCCCTCTTCTCTGGATCCTGAGCTCAAACAATGCATGATCACTGCAGCCAAGGCTGCCCCTGACCTTCACATCCACCACCAATGCATCCTCATTTGCAAGTAGAAGGTCCAGATCCTCAATCACTTGTGTCAGCAAGTTTTCATCAGTACACTCTAGAAAACTGCCCAATTGCTTATGCCCTGCTGTGCTGTCCTGCCAGCAGATGTTTGGCATGATTCATGCCTGGTCCCATGAGGACCAGGGCCAGTGAATGTGAGGCTTCTTCCAGCTGTCTGAAGAAGGCCTTGTCTACTTCTTCCTGATTGGGTGATCTGTAGTAGCCACCAACCACAATGTCACCCATGCTCGTCTGCCCTCTAATCCTAACCTATACACTATTAGCTGGCTCATTGTACATCCCAAGGCAGAGCTCCATGCATTCCAGCTGCTCTCTGACAGAAAGGGCAATTGCCCCTGCTCGCCTTCCTACTCTGTCTTTCCTAAACAGCCTGGCTCCATCCACTGCAGTACTTCTTTAAGCTACCCCACTGCATGTCCATGATCCCATAACTCTGCAACCAGGGCCGCGGAGGAAAAACTGGGCCATGCTAGAGAGGAGCCCAGGCAATGTGCGCTAACCTGCATTTCACCATGCATTTCAGTTCTTGGATTATGTGAGCCATCCCACCACATCTCTGTGTTGTCAGTGAGATCATAGTCCTGCAACTACTAGCAGAGCTCTAATTTTTCTTGTTTTTTTCCCCATATTCCATGCATTTGTGCACAGGCACTTTAAAGAGGCACCCAGCCATGCTGATTTCCCAGAAACTATATGAGGGCTTTCTTTTTCCCCATAGATACTTCCTTATTTATGTACTTGTGCACTTGAAGTGCACCCCTTTCAGCCCTTTTTTTTTAAATTATTATGAAGTCTGTCCTGTTCATATCACTTCTCATACATTTTGTACCAACCCTTCCCACCACTTTCTCACTTGATTATTGATCATCCTCTTCCTCCCCTGTTGTTCCTAGTTTAAAGCTCTTCTTATCAGGTTGACCAGCCTGTTGGCAAAGAAGTTTTTGTCCCATTTAGTCAGGTGGATCCCATCTCTTCCAAACAGTCCTCAATCCTCAAAAAGGGTGGCATGGTCATAGAAACCAAGTCCCTTTTGCCAATGCCAGCTGTGCAATCAACTGTGACCAGCAGGATCCATCCACTCCTCCTTCTCACTGCCCTCCCCCTCACCAGCAGAGGAGACTTCTGTTCCCTGCAGCAGGGAGCCTTCCATTACTAACACTCACCACTTTTTCTGGTGCTTCCTGCGTTGTCTCATGGTCAATGGGCTGAGACACCTCATTTGACAGAGCTCCCAGCCCCTGATTTGCTATGACAGCACTGAATCTATTCTGTAGTTTTCAGGTGAAGCAAGAACCTTCCTCTTGGTGTCAGGAGTCACAAGCTCTCAGTCTTCGTCATCATGGGAATCTCCATTTCTGTGGTGGGTTGACCCTGGCTGGACACCAGATGCCAACCAAAGCTGCTCTATCACTCCCCCTCCTCAACTGGACAGAGGAGAGAAAATATAACAAAAGGCTCATGGGTCAAGATAAGGACAAGGAGAGATCACTCACCAATTACCATCACAGGCAAAACAGACTCGACTTGGGGAAAATTAATTTAATTTATTACCAATCAAATCAGAGTAGGATAATAAGAAATAAAAACTGTATCTTAAAAACACCTTCCCCCCACCCGTCCCTTCTTCCTGGGCTCAACTTTACTCCCAATTTTCTCTACCTCTTCCCCGCCAGTGGCACAGGGGGATGGGGAATAGGGGTTGCAGTCAGTTCATCACATGTTTCTGCCGCTCCTTCCTCCTCCGGGGGAGGACTC